GTGTTGCTTCTGCTGGCGGCGGCGTCCGTGCGCGCCGACGCGGAGCCCGAGGCGGACGCGCGCCCGGACCCCTTCTTCTACGTGTCCAGCGCCTGGGCGGCCGACCAGTTCGGGCCCCCCACGGACACCCGGGGCAACGAAAACACAGCTGGCGCCTCCAGCTTCGGTTTTCTTCCCGCCCTGGCCCCCCGACCGGCTTTCCTCGCCATCGGGGACGTCCGCGCTGCGCCTTCGTCGGTCGTGGCACTCAGGAAGCCAGCGCAGGTCCTGAGGCAGCCTCTGCTCTTCTTCACGCCGCCCTTCTTCTTCCACGCCATCCACATCCGCGTGCCCGACCCCACCCGCGGCGACGCCAGGCCCGTGCCCGTGGCGGCGCCCTTCGTGACCTTCGCCACGCAGCACACGGTGCAAGAGGCGGCACGCCCTGAGGACCCGTCGCCGGCAGTCCACGCGGCCGCCCCCACGGCGGCGGTGGCCCCCGGCCCGTCCTTCGCCAGCCAGCACACCGCGCAGGTGTCGACGGCCGCCTCCGGGGAGGAGGACGACGAGCCCACGCCCCCGAACTACGTCCTCCTGGCGCACTTCCCGACGCAGCTGCCCAGCATCATGAGCTTCCGCGGCGTCGGGGACGAGCCGGTCGCCCCCGCAGGCATCGCGCAGTCGCTGCAGCCGACCTTCTTCCCCACCAGCTTCAGGAACGACTTCGCCCACCCGACTCTCCACGACAAGACCCCCTCGACCGACGGCACCGTCATAGAGGCCTAGCTTCGCGTGTGTAGAGTGTGTGCGTGTGGGAATGTGCCAAGGCAAGTGTCCAGGTCTCCCTTTCGCCTCGCGGCCGCCCCCGGGCCGCTCCGGGCGAGAGGCGAGCGGAAAGCGAAACCTGGAGTGTAAATACGACTGACTGAGCATGGCGACCCGAAAGCAAATTAGCATTAGAACCAGACAAGAAAACTAAGCAAAGAAAACCAAAAAAATATATATCCAAGAGAAGATATCCGAAGTCGATTCGATGGTCCCCGAAGAACCCGATCCGCGCCCTTCTCGCCCCGACTCCAAGTTACCAAGCGGGATCGTCGAGTCCTGTCTGTCTCTCTCTCGTCCAAAGATCTTCAGCCGAGGTCCTTCTGCGCTCCCGGGGGGTAGGCTCGCGCCGCCACGTGGTTCCTACACCAAGTTACCAGCTCGCATTTCTCGGGATAGTTTTCGGTGAATTTGGGGCTTCTCAAAAGCTTCTTTTTATATTTTTTGTATGCAGTTTCCCCTCTTCGCTCCCTTGCGCTTCGCCTCCTTAGTTGTAAGAGGTCTGCGGTGGAAATTGGAGCTCGAAAAAGCTGAACTACTCTGGCAACTCGAAACCGGTGTAGCAATTATATAAGTATATATACCATTGTATATATACCATTATATATATATATATATATATATATATTTATATTATATATGTATGTATATATGTATGTATATGTGTTTGTATATGTGTGTATGTATATATTTGTATATATACACTTGTATACACGCACATACACACATATATGTGTATATATACATACACACACACATATATACATATACATACATATATATATATATATATGTATATATATATAGATGTGGATGTATATATATGATTATACTAATTTCTCACATAAATTTTAGACGTGGCTCTCCAAAAATCATGTTTTGTAATACGAGGCAGATAAAATCCTTAAAAATACTGATTGACAGCAACATACAACTTCCCCTGTGTGTAACTCGCTATCCGCACATTAAACCAAAGTTGAAAAAAATATATATTTTCATATCCTCAGACAACGTTGTCTTGCATAACCGTAGACGTGCTGCTGGCGTTAAATTCAGACACGTAACGTGTACATACGCGACCAGAACCGCCGCCAGACTGCTTATCAGGATTAAGCGTAGCATCTCGTCCAAGGCCATCTATAGACGGCATGAACACTATAGACGACACAAACATCGGCTAACAAAAAAGAGTCTATACCTGCCCGACCTTGACTATCGGCTACCCTGTGAGTGACGTAATAGTAACATTTGAATCTATCCTCGTACTGCTGTGTCTTTACGACTTCTCAATTCTAGATGGTATTGGTGGATTTTCCAAGAAAAAAAACAGACGTGTCATTAGAATAAAAGTGCTGAAAAAAATCAAACAAAAAAGGATTTTAAGATAGGCACGTAGCCCTTCTTCCAGACAACGGGCTTAAAATATTCTGAACGAATAAAAAAGGTTGTGAAACTGTATCGCCTCTCTCACTAAGTCAAGGTCAAGATCGTTATCGAAAAAACTCTCGTTCATATACTCTCGAGACTAAAAGGAAGAAAAAAAAAACTTTAAGCCTACTGAAAGCCACGCCTCGTCGGACTTCGAATCACCTTTGATCGGATCGAAAACTACCTTGTTTCCTTTCATTCGTTAATTTCTTTCGTAACTCCATACTTCTAATTCGGAAAAGGAATTATGAAAGATATTCTAATTGGCAATACACCAAAGATTCGTCGAGAATTTTATGATTTCTGACAGAAAATTCGAATATGAAAATTAGACAAAAGCCATTTTGACCTCTCGTGTGTTTCGTAGATTTTAACTCCCGTTTCCCCCTCCCCCCCCCCCCCCCCTGTGCTGCTTCCATTTTTTTGCATCCCATAACTGTACTGGCAATAAAATTTCAATGTCATTTCTATTTTTGATATGACACAACAGATTTTTTAATTAAAATTAAAATTGTGATATGCGTTTGAATGTTTAATGAAGTGGAATGTAAATAAAAGATTTATTGAACACATTTCCTTCGTCTGTTTAAGTCATGCAAGAAGTGAGATGCATTAAATAAAGAAATTGAAAAAGTATATTATTATTCTGTTTAATTATATACCCTCCACATTCACAGACAATTACCAGTATCTGAAGTCAGTAACATAAGAGTTGTAAAAAAGAAAAAAAAAATAAGATAAGCACGTATCTTTCCCACCTGACGACGGACTTAAAATATTCTGAACGGACGAAAAAGGTTCTCTTGTGAACGTAAAACTGAAAACGATCATTCAATTTGGATATATGATTTACATTAACGATATAACTTATCAATTATGCAATTAGACAAATGACTTTTATGATACAACCATAAAGAGTTACATGTAATATAGTTTCAGCCTGTATAGAATGACGCAGTTTCTATAACTTAGTTGTAATTCAGTTAATGGTGATTATGATAATTAAAAAGACAAAATATTCTAAGTAATTACAATTCTTTAGCGTTTTTTTCTTCCTAATTATCCAACTATATCCACTTCTCTATCAATCAACCTATCTATTACCTACGCACTTATATATATATATTATTATCATCATTGTTACTGTGTCTAACCTTCTTCTAAGTCATTCCTGTTCTTGTATTATCTTTCTCTCATTCTCTCTCCTCAACACAGATATATTCTAAAGCTAAGTATACATCAACCTTATTATTTCACAAGAAGTAATAAAGCCGTGATAATGAACCCAAATACACCCTACGCCTGAACTTAAACTCACCGCCGACGAAACACTTATATAAGAACCATTACCATTTCGTTTGGGTTTGAGTGAGTCATTGGAAATTGGGATACAAAAAGAGACGAAGTGGCAACCCCACCCGGTTCCAGGACTCGATCTCAGCGTAAAAGCAGACGCAGACAGAAGCACGTACTTATACTGACAAAGATGCTGATGTAGAGACAGATATGCATACTAGTATACAGGCACACATACCCGTGTACACAAAGACACTTATATTGTTAAACATACATAAAGACATATAAATGAATACACATAAAAATTCACATGCTAACATACAAGTATAATAATGATAGACACAATAATGATGATGATAATAGTAATGATAATGATGATGATGATGATGATGATGATGATGATGATGATGATGATGATGATGATGATGATAATAATAATAATAATAATCATAAACATCATAATTATAATCATGATAATAATGATAATAATAGTAATTATAACAATAATGATAATAGACACAGACATACACATTCTAATGCACATACAGAACACACGCACTAATATAATTACTGATGCGGATACACATACACATACACATACTGATGCATATGTAGACACATAATACTAATAAAGATGCTGGTATAGATACAGACACACATACTAGTACACAGGTACACATACTCATGTACACAAAGACATGAATTATGATACCTACATAAAAACAAATAAATGAATACCCCTAAAATGCACATGATAATATGCATACATGATAATGATGATATACTTATTAATGATAATAATAGGCACAATAATGATGATAATAACAATAATAATAACAATGATAATAGACCCAGACAGATACACATTATAAAGCACATACAGACACACACACTAATATACACACTGGTCCGCCTACATATACACATACTAATACATATGTAGATATACATAATAAAGATCATACAGACACATACTAATACACCTACAGACACGCATAATAATATAAATACAGATATACAGACCAATAAACTTGTAAACACACATACTAATACACCTACAGACACACACAGGCACACAAGCTAATGCACAAATAGCTGCAAATATTAGTGAATATAGACAAACATACTACTATAGGTAAAAGACATACAGGCGCACAAACTAGTACACATACACAAAGACAAAAACAACACATACCTCTACTTGTACAAACACACACACACACATTCACAAATGCATATACATATAAACGCGCGTACACATAGATATACCCACTGCACACATATCTACACACGAATCAACAGACACACCCCAACAAACAAACAAACGCACAAAACAAAGACACAGAAAAACAAACACATAAAGACACTGCCTCACTCGCACCACTTCTTCATTCCTGCGACATCATCCCGGCTGGCATTATTGAAGGTGGAAGCTGCGAGGAATGTCTGACAGCCGCTGCTTTCTGGAAGACTTGGGAAGACGTGTCTCTGTTTGTTGCTTTCTGGTGAATTCTGTTTTTTTTCTGTTGTTGTTGTTTTTTGTTATTTTGTTTGTTGATTTCTGTTGAATTATGTTTCTCTGTTTATTTCGTTTATTCAATTGGTTGATGTTTGAATTTTTCTGTTGATTTCTGTTTGTTTGTTTGTTGATTTCTGTTGAATTCTGTTTCTGTGTTGATTTCTGCTTGTTTGGTTTTTGGTTTCTGTTGAATTCTGTATCTCTTTTGACTTCTACTTGTATGTTTTTTAATTCTGTTGAATTCTGTTTGCTGATTAATATTTTCTTTTTTTCTGTTGGTTTGTACTTCTGTTCATATCTGTTTCATATCTGTTTTTATATTGATATCCGTATCATCTATTGATCTCTGTTTTATTTTTGTTTATATTTGTTTATTGTTTTTTTTTTTCAGTTTCGTTGTTAGTTGATTTGGCCGTGTATGTGATGTTTTTTCTGTGTGCTTTCTTTGAGTGTGTTTCTTTGAGGTGCGTTTATTTGTGTTTACATGTGTGTTTGTGTGTGTGTGTGCAAGTCTGGGTGTTTATATATATCTGCGAGCATTTGTGTGTTTATGTTTGTCTGTGCATGTGTGTTTTTCTATGCATATGTTGTATGTGTAAGTTTATTCATCTGTGTTTATGTGTGTGTGCGTATGTTTTCTCTTCTTCTTCTTCTTCTTCTTTTCATTTCTTTTCTTTTCTTCCTTTCTTTCACTTTTTTTTCTCTGCACCTCATTTTTTCTAGAAGCAGATTTCCCTGCAAGTACTTCTGTCATTCTCGATAAGTATGTCTTGCCTTCCAAAGGGTATTCCACCGTGAGTTATTTCCGCATTCAATTTGCATACAAATATGCATTCAAGACCGCACACTCACACACCTGTTAACACGCAAGGAACCACCTTCGAACAAAAGAAAATTCCGAACACCGGCACGCCCCTCAAAAAAAAAAA